GAGAAAGAGCGTGAGGATGTTTATCAAGCCACTGTAAATACAAATAATGATCCTCATCAGCCGTGGCCTTTTACACACCTTAAGAGATTTATGTCTATGATGCTTCCCCTCTTGTTGTGAATGGTTGAAGCATCGACTATCCCTGACATCATACCTGCTGCATCCCATCACATCAGGTAGAAGAACAAAGATGGTGAGATATGGTTGAATAGCAGGTCAGGTTATATTGCCTTAGGGTGATTCAAGCTTATTTGCATACTTTCCAACATTCCCACATGGGGTTTGGATTAAAAGCCATGATAACGGGTCTAAATTAATCTAAAACAAATCTTATTTTATCTTATAATGAGGCCACAAGATACCACTGGCAAAACAGCTTCCTTTGAGTTATGTAAAAACAGGGGAGCAGTTGATCTTTTGATTCAAAAAGCAACAAAACCAGAGTGATTGAGCGGGTTTAACTTCTATTAATATTAAACAAAATATATGACTGATGTGTTATGAATTACAAGAATGCAACGGCAAAGATTGTACAGGGGTTGCTACTTGCTACTAAATGACATGATTTGATCAAAGAGATGAATGGAAGAGTAAGGTTTTTTTTAAGGAAACAATAATTCAGCAATTTAGTTCTATGTAAGGTATTCTATTCTATTTTTGTGTTCTTACATTTATCACCACTGGCAATGTACACATGTATTCAGGCGATAGGTACTGTACTTAAGTATTGCATGATCTCAAATGTAAGATCTTTTAGAAAAAAAACATGATGCATTTTTACCTAATATTATACTGTTGTTAAATTAAACTTCCTTTTGACTTTCTGTTATATTAAAATGCTTCTTACACTTTGTTCCGCCATTGTTTATCATTCAACAGATAAAACTCAATGCAGTGTGGTCGGCACAAATAGATTCTCATTATGCCATTTTAAACTCATCTTAGTTTATTTGTCCTCTGAAGTCTTAAAGCTTGCAAGGTAAGGTTATTCAAAGTATTGGAAATATTGCAACAGTTCTATAAAAAGCATTGTTGGAAAAGAGAGTGATTCTCTTTATTAAGTAATGAGGGAGCCACGGTTCAGCAGCCCACAGACACACAGCGAGCGCCACACAGAGACCCCGGCAGCACCCAGAGCCAACCCCCCCCCCCCCCCACAGCTCTCACATTGCATCAAGTCACTGACTGACGGCTACATTGTCCAAGGCAAGGGGGAAAATAGTGGTGAAGATGTTCCTCTCAGAGAGCTGCTCACCACAGCCAGTGTCTACTCTACACACACATGGGGCGCACCCATTGGTTGAGTGCACTCCACAAAAACAGGGTCTTAAAGAAGTTATTTGGGGGCTGAATCATTAATATTTGAGCAATCATTTGAACTTCTAAACGTTTCTGCCTTGCCATTAATAACATAACACTTTGATTGTGTGGTTCCCCCTGGTCCGATTGAAAAGGATCAGCTGATTCATATTTCAAGTTTCATTTGACTGCTTTATTTTTTTATTTTTGCTTACTGTTTATAGCCATCTTGGCATAATCCACTATGAATTAAATAAAATATAAGTTTGTTCAAGACATGTTTTGCCATATAGGTTCATTTTTACAAATCCCATGTGTTTAAAATATGTGATGCATAGATGGTAATGTGTTGCTATTAAATAAGCCAATTTATTAATTGTTCAAGGTATTTAAGAGAAGTTAGGAAGCTACGGCTAACGGATGCTCAAATTACTTATTTAAGTATAATCATATACAACACTTCAATGCAATACAAACATAAGAGAAAGATCCTCAACTTCTAAAAAGTCTACTTCCAAACATGGTTTCCAAATCACGTTTTTGTTGGGACCCCTAAAGTAAAACATTAAAGCAAAATGATTGGACCGCACAATTTCCTCTTAATGGAGGTTATCCCAGAAGTTCAAGAATATGGCAAGCCGATTTAGCTTTTATTCATTTCTGGAGGATATCAAAAAAATCAATTCATACTAGTTATAATTACATTTTTATTTATAACTAGTTAGAATTTAATTCCTGATATAAAAAAAAGGATTTTGAACTAGTTGTAGTTTGAACATGTATTACTGATATCAAGAATTGGCATTGTGACTAGTTGAAATGTAATTATTGTTATCAGAAATTTGTATTTTTACTAGTTCTTACTAGTAAGAATTAATTTGTTGATATTCTCCAGAAATGAACAAAAGCTAAATTGGCTTGCCATACAGGTGAACACAGGCTTCAATTTGCCACCAATAGCAGGATTAACCCAGCAGGGGGCGCCATGACCTCCTACCCTCACACTCTGCCTGGTGTGTGTACTCATGCTTTCATGGCAGCCTCAATGTATTTAGCCTGTATCCCTATTCCCCAGATACCATAACACTATTTTTCCCGCTACAAAGAATTCCTGAATACGACATCACACAGAAAAGTGATTAAACCAGAAGGCTCATGATCAAAAGTTGAACAAGCCAGCGCTCTACAATATGTTCTACTTTTCTTGTTGAATTATGCAATGCTTTGGTTATAAACAACTTGACTGATCCCCGTTTAAATAAACAGATGTTTTGCTATATTTGAGAATCACCTTGTAGAACACAAGATCAATATGAGGTCAAAATCAAATTAGCCCCACTTTTAAATTGACTATTATTATTTTAATATTTGGTTATTTTCATATTGTTTTATTTATTTGATAGGTTTTGACTTGTATTTGTAACTTTATTAGCAAATGTCCCTTTTAAGTTGGTGTTCAATTTCATTTGACTTTAATTAATCTTATTCATTATTACATTTATATTATAAATGTCTTATTTGGATTTTATTTATTTAATGTGTATTTATATGTTATCCAATTGATTGATTATGTCTTCCTTTATTTTACCGAGAGGGATCACCATTTCATTGTGGTTTACTTTTTATTATCATACTTTGTACTGCTGTGTCTCTTAAAGTTTTAAACTGTTATATCATGTTTTTTGTTTCGTTTCTTGCTGCATGTAAAACTCTGGTTGTGTTTTAAATTGTGATGTGTGCCTTGGTAAAGCAAACTTTACAAATAAAGCTTATGGTTATTATTATTATTATTATTATGAATAGCTGTGTTGCAAATATAATAGATTTAATAATTTAAAATAATAAGTAAGTTCCCAGCAGAAACAAAAACAGACATAACTGAAATTGTACTTCAGATCCAGATTAAACTATATCTTAAGTAAGTTCTTTGATTAACTAAATGACTAAAGAAAGTATAGCATCGTTGCTATGAAAAAGATACATATAAACCTGATAAAAAGCTTCTTGCTGTGAACAGATCACCATGCCGACCGGAACAAAGCATTCCCATACACACATTCCAATCATGGGCAACACCATTTATTTGTTCTGTAAACAACTATTGAAAACACTGTGTTATACTACAATAAATATATAATTCAAATAAAGATAATTCACTTATTAATTTAGATTAAATACAATGAAAAATAAATATGCAGGTGTATTTGATAGAGATCTCTGTCATAAATAATCCAATGTTTTAGCTGTGCCTGAGGATGCCGATAAACATTTCCTTCAAGATAACTCAAAAACCATTCTTTGTAATGATCGCTTCTAAAAAATAAACAATTGCCATCATCATAAAAAAAAAAATCATTAACAACTTGTTTTAACAGTGTTACAAGAAACAAACCATGTCACATAAATCATTCAATATCTCAAATTTCTTCCCCTAATATTTTGTAGATTTTTGGTAAAAATGACATTTTGAAAACATATTTAAAATGTTATCTTAAATATTGAACTATAGTAAAATAAAAATGAAACACTCAGGCACTCGGCTGATCCACTGGCGGCTGGGCCTTGGGTGTGGGAGTAGTTGCTGGGCGCAAGTTAACTTGCCGGGCACATTTGAGGATTTTGGACCAGAGAAGGGAAACAGGTTCCATATCACCAGGTACCAGAGTAGTATTCCCCCTTTCTGGTTTCTCAGTACAGTTTGCCTGAAAGACAAAAATTGGTCAAGTGTCACTTTAAATTCTGCATTTGCTTTAACCATCTAAAAATAAAGTGGGGGGGGGGGGGGTTTCACAGATTTGGTCTTCTCATTTTGCAAATGTGATGTCAAAGGGAATTCTTACATGAGTGCCCACGATGTAAGCCTTCAAGTTTCTCAAAAGGAATTCCTCCTCCTGCCTGTGGTTCTCAGGTTTCTTCAGGATCGCAAACGATTTACAGAAGAACTTATCCTGTAAGGAACATAAGCAGGAAAACATTAGGACTTAAATAAACAAGGCAAACACAATTATATTCAATTAATCAACATGGCCATTGCAATCTGCTCTGTAAGCTACAGTGTGTAGTATATAGTACTTCAACTATAAGCAACCAAACTCTTCTTACGTTGCATTTTTCAGTCAGACTGGTCAAGCTCTCCACCCAGGGCGCCTTCAGAACATAATACAAAAAGTTAATTTAATATTTCAGGAACAAATCATTTGTTGCAAAAAAGTCACAAGCAAGTAAACGGTTATAAAATGAGCTCTTACCTTCCCGGACGATTTAGCACTATTACCTATTTTATCAATGATGATGTTTAGGTTATCTAGAGGAACATAAGGAGTAGGCTTGGCAACAGCTGGGCCGAGCATCAGTGTCGCGGCGGACAGAAACATCATCACCATCATCTTCATCATCATTATAGCTAGTTGGCTGTCGACCTCTGGTTGAAGTTATTTCAAGTTTTCTTTGACTTGATCACTCAAATGTCAGCTGACGCTTGTTCTGAATACTTGGCTGAGAACGAAAGATTTATACTTGCTTTGCCCCCGCCTTCGCAACGTTTCCCCCCTCATTAGAAAAAACTAACTGCAATGAGTCTGCAGTTTGTGTGAGATAAGATTTTTTGATTAAGCTGTGGTTTGTGACAAACTTCACCAAAAAGAAGCAACGATTCTCTGAAGCTAATCTATACCTTTCAACAACCGTTCAAGAGATATTCGTGAATAGCAAACCATTCCAAGATTTAATGACAGAACGTAATGAGAGGAAAACATAACTGTGAACTTTCCAAATGTTTAAGCAGAACAGATACATGGACAACAGATGGCTAAGGAAACGTTTTAAAGACACAATGCCAAGACCATGCAAACTTCATGATGCTTAACACGGAAGCTGTTCCTGCTTTAGATTAGAATCAGAACTTTGATCTTTTAGTGTACTTTATCTGGCCATTTCTTACTGGAATGGAGGATTTAATAAAGCATTACATAAAGCATAAGCATGTTCTGTTATGAAACAGTGACCTTTTAAAGGCACATTATCAACACAATATTTTGAATCATGGATATTTGCCAGTCAGTGTCTTCGGCGGGTTAAGATCAATTAACTCGTTCCCTTTTTTCAACTAAATCAACGCTGAATTTGCCCAACTGAAATGAAAACAAGAACATCGAGGTGTACTGTGCATTTCCAAGGAAGAGTCTTTGGTCTGCTCAGTGGAGATAGGTAGAGAGGGAGGTGATGCTGCACTTTGTGATCTCAGAGTTCTGGTCCTGGTTCTTACGGATGCGGTAGAAGTGCTCGATGTAGCTGGAGCGGCCCAGCAGCTCCACAAAGTCCTCGTCGTGGGTGATGATGAGCAGCTGGAAGTTACGCTGGCGAGAGCGACTCTTAATGATCCTGAGGAGAGCGAGCGAGAAGGGTACATCAACTCACAGTTCACACAGTAGCAGGACACTCCAAATCAAAGCTAACTTTTCAATTGTGTTCATGCAGAGCTTAGTAATTAAGCATTATCAGCCATTTGATGAATGATTTTGATATTCTTTTTGTTTAATAGGTTAGTCTACTGATTGTTTGCTGTCCCTTCTAAATGCTAGAAGGATAATTAAAGGATTTAAACCTTTCTGAAGCAAAACAAAGCTGGAGGCTTGATGATTAGAGCTGGCATGATGTGCCGTCACTGTGGGTGTTTTCTTTTTTTGGTTCTATCCTTGTTAGGTCCTTAATGAGCTAAAGACCTCTTTTTTAACCTTGGGAGTGATTATATTTACGTGGATCCACACATTGACTTTTGAGTTACGCCAAGAGTGTCCTCTAAAATAATCAAGGTTTAAATATCCTGATTGTGGGAATTGAAAAGAAAAGTGGTTTAAAGGTCAAAGTAAAACAGGGGAAAAGTGTTGTCTGGGGTGCAAATGGGTGAAAGAGAAGGATGAAAGGAATATCAAAAGGTTAGAAAAGTGTCAAAATAACTATCATTTCATGGGAAGACTAGGGGTAGAGGCATGTGAGAATTTGGTCAGGGATATTACCAAATATCTGAAACCTGCAGGTCTGCTGCAACTCTTACTGCTTTTAAATCCAGGCTGAAGACTTTTCTTTTTGCCGCTGCTTTTAATTGAACTATTCACATCTTACACTGCACTGTAACCTTTATTCATGTACCTGTGTGATTCTGTGTTTAAATATAGATGGATAGAATTGGAGGGATGAAACCCGCTTTAAATGGTCACACATGCAGAGCACACAGCTCACACAGTGAAATGTGTTCTCTGCATTTAACCTAGTACTACTTTGCTTTTTAATGTTTATTATGCTCTCAATGTCTTTCATTTTTATAAAGCACTTTGAATTGCCTTGGTTTGAAAAGTGCCTTAAAGTTAAAACAGTGTATCTGTCTGTATGTGTGTGTCTGTGTGTGTGTATCTGTGTGTGTACTGACTCTACGAGGGCGTGTGCCAGAGACTCGATGTTGTCTCGGTCCAGGTTGGTGGTGGGCTCGTCCAGGGCCAGGATCCCACAGTTCAGACAGAAGGTCTCTGCCAGAGCGAGACGGATGATCAGGGACGCCAACACCTGGTCAAACAGCCACATTTAAGCATGTGGTGATATGTTGGAACACTGCATGATGATAAAACAGCATGATACATTATGTTTTAATGTAATGCATGTGCTTATAGAGAACATTTATTGTGATACCTTCTGCCCGGCACTGCAGCGCCCCCTCATGTCCAGAGCGGTGTCTCCTTTCACCATGACCACTCTGTAGTTGTAAACCCTCCGCCGCACTCCAGCAGACGAGTTTTCGTCCACATCAGAGCGGATCTCCACGTACTCAATGTCTGGAGAGGGGGCAAGAGGAGGTGAGGAAACACAGAGGATACATCCACAGCAGTATGTTTTTGAAAATACATCATCAAATGTTGTTGCTGGCTTGGTTGTCTTCACTAGCCGCTGTTTAAGGTGTTAGTAAAGACCGATTATTTCTGTAACGGGGCTAAAATACTCTGCACGGAGATCAGTGTTGTTTTAAAATGGAAAAAAAGTAAGTGTGGATGTAGCCTAACAGAGAGAGGAATTAGGGAGAATGATTTACATATAAATAATACATAACAATCGTAGAGTAGGATTGAAATGCACCTTGACCCCTGTAGGTGCTGCGCCAAAGGTCTCTGATGATCTTGTTGATCTCATCCATCTTCATGCTGTGGAATTTCATGATGGTTCTGAGGAAAACAAAAAGGAAACCAAGATAAAACCCTAAAGCAGACAAGATATTTGACCTTCCCTAAATCAAACCATCAAATAGACATTGCTTTGTTGGACATCTCACTTTTATGATTTGATAATCAAGTGAAAAAAACTCAAGACAGAAGCAGGCACACGTATGTGATTTATAAATACCAATGTCAAACAGTATAATATATGTTACTGTTCACATTGACAACCCCTGCTTTGCACACAATGTAGAAGACACAAATAATCAACTCCAACACATTTGTAAACCTTTACTATTTCATGATGATTTGGTGAACAAAATGATAGCGACAGCATTTTTTAAATGAAATCCAGTGATATTGAAACATGAGAAATACTGAATAAAAGATTTGAAGGCAGGCAACTGGATGTTGCTTTCCGGCATACTAAGAATCATTTTGTCGTTAATCTAGTAATTTGACCCGAAACTCCTATGTGGTCTGAAAACACCGGTGATGACATTATATCAACATCTTCTCTGAAGCCCATATGTGGGCGATGAATTGACAAACCATGAAGCAAGGAAGAAAAGAGAGAGGAAGTAGCGCAGTCCTTATCAATCCATGTGGCCCGGTGTATGCATACGCTTATGCAGCAGAAGGAAGTCATTGGGCACGACTCCCTTCTGCAAGTGTATTTGACTCGCAACAAACAAAAGAAATGTAGTTTTGTAAGTCACAATAATAATCAGTGATTAATCATGAATACAGTTTATTATACTTTCTTGCATTTTAGACGGAGGTAAAACAAACAACTTGTGACATGACACACTGGCCTTTTACTTTGTTATATCATGGATAGATTTCCGTTGTCTCGGAGAGCCGCTGTGATTCCTCCTCAGGGAAATCTGCGCAAAACAGGGCCGCTCTGCCGCCATCTCATTGCAAGCACTTTCTTTTACAGTGGTGAGCTTATCCGCCATCTCTGGGGAAAAGACTTGTACATTTTATTAATTTGCGTTTTTTTTTATGTCTTAAGATTTTCAGACACATCCCGAGTATTGACATGTTAACGTTGATGGCATGAAAAATAGTGACTTGGTCAAAATCAAATCATTTCTGTTATTTATACAGGGTATATGCAGGAATGCTGAAGTCAAATAATACCTTTTAAGACCCTTTCCATACATTTTAACCTCATCGCCAATTCGAGTTCTAACCGGTTACATTGGCGACACACTTTACTTCACATTTACTATATACAGTATTGATTGTAAGATAGCATAGCTAAACCGTTTGTGATAACTCCTTATCATAATTCAGATAGAACAAAGCACAAGAGAATGAATTGTGTGACCAACCCAATGCAAGGTTTATTGGAAAAAAATTAGAAAGTAGTATTTGATCTAGGCATTGTTCCCAAGAGATACAACAGACAGACTACTGAAGAGAGTCTGCACTGCAGCGGTGTGCGTCAGCGACGTGCAGTCAGGGGAGGCACGGATTGGCCATCGGGAGAGTCGGGACTTAAAGCATCCCCATAACGCTGTTGTTTAACAACCGGCGTAAACGGACCTTCGCGCGCTATCAAGCAGCAGTCAGTCAGTGAGCGATGTCCTGTTCAGATGACGTCAAACCCAACGGGATGCCATAAATAAACTACAGAATCACACTACACACTACGCAATGATTACATTCAGGCAGACTGTAGAATACAACCTCTTTGGACCATTTATATATTTATTGAAAACAAGCTACAAAATGTAATACCTTGGAAAATGCAGTTTAATAGCCTTCATTTTCGCTAAATTGATTTGATTGTAATACTTTTTTAAGACCCCGCGGACCCCCTGTTATACATACACAAATCACCTGCTGATGAGGCTTATTTAAAACACTTTTCATGCTTTTTTGAATTTAGAATATTGAATGAGGGTGAAATAGGATTTAATCCTTTGAGTATTCATACTGTTAAAATAACCCGTCCAAACCATCTTCTCCAATGTAAGACATGTGGAACAATCCCCACTTTTGTTGCTATTTGCAAACACATTTCCAAAGTTGATCAGAAGTGAATACAATGCCTCAGAATTCTGAGTTGATCAAATCAAGTGTGTATCTTCCAAAGTTACCACCTGTTAAGTAAAAGTTGTGCTGTTTTTCTTTACACCATGTTCCCTTGCTGAGCCAAGTTCGGTAGTTAGACCAAGTGGGAACTTTTTACCAAAGACCATGTCTGTAGACAGGACCCTGCTAAACAAATACATGCACCCACATTTCTTGTAGTTACTTTATAATGTGATCGCTGAATCTTTAGTGTTGACCTCGCCAAGGTTAAAGAGCTCAGTGATCAGGAGCTCAGATGAATGTTTTTGTATTTGTAGCGTCAGGGATGTCGTGTAGGTAACACAGAAACATAGAAAGCTGTACCATTGACGAATCAAACTAAAAGGTTCCCACTGAAATGATTCTAATAAAACATATTTTTGTTTTAAATTAAATACAAGACAGCTGGGGACTTCAATATAGCTGAGAAAAGATTGAGTTCAAAACGTATAATTATTTTATTATATATAACATTATATAATTCTTCTACAATTCTATGTGAAATGTTGTCCAACTGCTACGGCCAGTTATTTAACAAATGTTGTACATAAACTATTAGAGACAGCAGGTACAAATGAATGAGATACAGGGAAGTTTTTTGAAAACAACATACATACACATATTCAGTTGTGACTGCAAGTGATTTAAGGAACATGAAACATCATTGTCTTGATGGTCTCAACCTATTATGCTGACAACAATTAGTTGCAAAGTAATTTTTTCCAAACCCAAATCAAAGCATCTCACCATGAAAACCATTTTCTGTGTATTCAGATAGAAACTGTGACACGGCAGTATGCTCTGCTGGGAGGCTTGCTTTCAATCTTGATAACAGACACTGAAGTCTTAACCCACACATACTGGTAAATGATGCTCTGCTCTCTGCTCAGATAGCATCTGAGCAGAGAGCTCACGCTTCCTCACTGAGACGAGCACTGGCCTTTCATCCTCACTTTGTCAATCCAACAACAAAATAAATAGGATTGCACCCTGATCAACTACACTTTATATTTCAGATTGTAATAAAATAATGCCATCAAGGAAGGAAAGCCATTATATAAAGCATACGGAGCCTTGCTGAACTCATTTTCAGTGAATAGAGAGAAGTGATATCTACCATTATCTACAGTCATTATAATTTGTGAGTTTTATCTGACCAACAGTCCGAAACCCAAACATGTTCAGTTTAATGTGAAGCTACAACCGTATAATCCATCAGTCCATTTTAAATGTACATTTCTTGATTGCTTTATTTGTTCAGCTCTGAATGTATTAAATATATACTTGTTGAATGAGACATTTCTTGTAGAGTTGTATATAAAAAAAAATGATGACTAACACACTAGCTACACTTTTCAAACTCATAGGGAATTACGATGAGAAACGATACAAAAAAATCAAATAAGGGCAAACGATTGCCTCTTGACGTATCTCACTGCAGAGACTGTGTCCACCCTCGCAGAGGAAGGTCATGATGTCACACATATCTCTTCGCCACAAAGCTCGTCACTGCTTTGATACGTTTGTGGTTTGGATTGTTTCCGAAAAAGCCAGGCCATTTGTTTGGGGGGAGGAGGCGGCCTCGAAGCGCCTCAACAACGTGAAAGAGAATACAACTTAATAAATTAGACTTCAAAGTGTGTGTGTAAAATGAAGATTTGATATGGTGTTGCTGTTGCTAAACATGGCACCCATTTACTTTAATGACAGACTTTACCTTGTTTTTTTAGTCTCTGTTGGAGGAAAAAAATGTCTTCACAAATTCAAGGTAACGTGAACGGAAGAGGATTAGGGGCACATGAAAAAAAAAATTGGGGATGTGAAAGAAAAGTAATAATTCTGAGAATTTGTTTTCTGAAGGCCCTAGCTACTTTGTTTTTGCAGTGACACTGACATCGGCATTACCTGAGACATTTCTAAAGAGCTCAGTGATACAAGAAAAGTGACATCACCAACATGAGCTAAATGACTTTCTAAATAACAACCTAAACGTTGAGGTGGGCGAACTTCAAAAGGCCTGAGAAGGAGGGCATGGACTCATGTCTCATAACAGGAAAACTACGAGAGAGAGAAAGACAAAGGTGCTGATGTCGACACTAAATCTTACCAACAATACGACCTACTGTAAGCTCCAAGCCCTTCATAGATAAATGCTGAGTGTCTATGTTATTGCTTATATACATTTTCTCTGTGAACTATTATTTTGCAGGGTTTTTCTTTAGGTCTGAAATTGAAGGAATTTATTTTTAAAAGCAGTTTTTCGTACTTCAATCAATCTCAAACAATGTCTGTCGTGTTATTTCCTTCTATACGTTTAAAGCCTTTTAACATGTGGTGGTTTCTTTGTTCTCTGTGGTTTCACACTGAAATCATCAGTCAGATCTGCTCCAGTTCAAGTCATTGTATACATGCATGTCATTTTCCCACTACGAGTAAACCTTTTAAGAAACTGGATTTGACTACTGCAGTCATCTGATATTTGTGGATATCACAATGACATCTTCTAGAATTTGATGTATTTTTTATATTAAAGGCATTTACTGTATACTAATACCGTACTGCTATATCCAGCTGGCTTTCTCAAGTTTCAAGATTCTGGGAGAAATCTGTGACTTTACTTTAAGTTTGTTAGTTCACAATCCATATACTCAATGCAATTCCAGGCAACACTTACTGATCCAGGGCCTTATAGTAGAGATCCAGATCTTTAATAACCAGCTCGGTTGTCCTCATTGTGATCATCTTGTTCTTGTAGCGCTCATCAGCTTTGTTATACTGATCTTCTCGAAGCTCTTTCCTGCAAAGAACAGGTCAAAGGCAAAGTTTAATTCAAGAAATAACTCATTAATATAAAGCAGTCATTCATGAGTATTGGGTTCAGAATCGGGGGACAGGAAACGGAGAAAACTGCAGGGAATGATGGGAGGAACGTGGAAGTGTTGGCAAGCAATGGATGCTCCTTTTGTTTTTAGGGATCAGATCATTTACATCATGAGAAACGCAGCTCTTACACCATGAGTGTGAACACAAATGGTAGTGGGGTTATCACTATAACTATCGTTGCAGTGACAAAGGTCAGCCGGAGATACAACATTAATGTAATAATAAAAAGTGCATCTGAATTTGGTTAAGCTCTGTGATGTCCCGAATACCATTTTTCGGGCTCCGGATATTCGGTAGTAATCAGCAGCGAATATTTGGATATTCGGCCCGTGCAGGGCGGGGGGTGCGTAATAGGGATGCCAGAAACTGACCATGATCAAATTCGAAAATCGGACAGCCCTGGCGAATATTAATCGATTATTGGAAATTCGACAAATGGAATTCCGTTGCACTTCATTTGCACTTGTCAGTTCGAAGTAGTTCCACGAGGAACTCTTCTTTGAACGTGCCGCTTTGTTCAACTTTAGTTGTGTTGTTCTCACTGTTCTGTATATCGCCAATAAATCAATCGCACGTGTGACGGAGAGGGGGGGGGGGGGGGGGGGTCGGTGTGTAGCAGACAGCAGCAGTCTGCGCTGCTGGCTTCCTCCAAGTTTACAGTAAGACTAACTGGTGGTGTGACCAATGGCCATTTACAATTATTAATAATATTACTATTATTAGCATTAGTCTATATTTTGGTTGAAACTAAGCCAGAAAAAAAAGAAAAACATAAATAATAATAAAAAATATATATAAATAACATTTTAAAAATAATTTTCGATTATGGAGACTGTAACGAATATTCGAAAAATCGCTGGCATCCCTAGTGCGTAATAATCAGCAGCGAACCGCTTCAACACGTATATTTCGGTTTATTCACGGCATTCATTTTGTTATTCTACAGTATTGTTGTTTTATAGTTATTTGTTAATGTATATAACCCAATTTGTGTTCTTTGAAATTGAAAAGGATATTGTGTTTGTTACTTTTGTTGCAGTTGTATATGTCTTAAGTGTAATTTGGCTTGGCTTCCTATTTTGTATGGACATGCTTTTATTTTTAAGGAGAGTTAGCGCTGTTGACAGGAAGTTGTTGTTGCTATGGAAACAACGTGACAGAGATTCACGGAGAAAAGCCATATCTACATATAAAGACGGAGAAAGTAAATGATAACGTTTATGGTTAAGTGTTAGCACAATCTCTTATAAATTCTATTTGGCACTGCGGCTGCCAAAAAAAAAACAACGAATATCCGAATAACGAAATTGAAACACGAATAGTACTCCAACTAACGAATATTCGGGTACAGCCCTATGTGATGTGTAAACAATAGACGTGCATATCTCACCTGTAATGCAGTATCTCCTCCTCAAAGCCTTTTTGACGACCCATTGCAATACTGCGGTTCTTCTTCAACTCTTCCAACTTGCGGTCGGCATCACGTCGTTCTCTGGACAATGACACGAAAGGATAAGTGAACTTCTAATAAGTGTGATACCGCTGAGGCAAAAGAGACATGGCTTTTGTGCAGCTCGGTTCAGTTATAATAACATTGATTGATCTTAAATAAGAGTGTAGTGCTCTTACTGGCGTAGCTGCTGGACTTTCATGTTGCCCATGTCTTTCAGAAGAACCTCACGTCTAGCCACAACCTCCTTTAACTCCTCGACACGTTTCCTCAACGTCAGGTTGTCCTGCAACCAGCGCTCCTGGACCTAAGAGATATACAAATGTATCTTTGCTTCGCTTCTCTGAAACTCAGCATTGACCTGTACAATGGTGGATAACACAAAGTCCCACCATGACTCAGGAAGTCGTACCTTTTGAGTGTCAATGTCCTGGCGGATGTTTCCCATCTCCTTGTTGATCTTGTCTTTATTCTTCTCAGCCTCGTGGAGCTGAGTGTTGGTTTCTTGAAGCTCAGACTCTTTTTGCTGCAGCAACAACAGACAATGTCAATAAAGTAGTTCAGTACTTCCAAAAGTGAATACTTCTGCACAGTTTGAGCCAAGGTTCTTTAACTAATAAACCTTATTCAAAGAAAAGCAACGCTGATTTTTCAAAGTGAATAAAGGGACATATGATGAGTTTTCATGATGATTGTTTGTATCGATGTCCATCACTAAATAACCCATGGAGGAATCAGAAAAACTGATGTATCAAATATGACAGTGGCACACAACTTGCCTCTTTGTATTCGTGTTTGCCGCCTTCGACATATTTCTTGATGTCTTTTTCCAAGTTGCCGATTGACTTCACCTTTTCTTTAATGGCATTGATCTGTCGGAGGGAAAATGTGTTCATTTCTGCTTGATTTTCAGTAGAGAAAAAAAGGGGGCAGCGACAGAGAGACAAAGTGAGAAAGTACCCACCTTCTCCTGCCCCTCCTCCTGCCTCTGCCTCCTGCGCTCCACCAGCTCCTGCTTCTCCTGCTGCAGCTTCTCCAGAGACGCAGACAGAGGGGACAGCTGCTCCTTCGCTTCCTGTGAGACATGAAGGGAGATGAGAAGGGACAACATGGCATTTAGAGATTCTCTTTTCTTACAATTCACTATGGCTGGACAGTATCATTGTCATAGCTATATGAAAATGGTATATACTTTCCATATATATTTTTGTTGTAAACATTATGATTATTTAGCACTTAAGTAAACTGTTATTGAGACCCAAAATGAACAATATCCTTAATAAAGTTATAACAATATTACAGAGCCATTCTAGAAACCTACACATTTCTTTCCATTTTCCTACATTTGTGTATGAGCTACAGTAATTCACTAGGGCCTCTACATCAACGTCTTCCAAGAAGTATCTTTGATATACAGAAACAGTGAAATGTACCCTGATGTCCCGGGTGAGGGTCTGTATTTCCGTGGTGCACTCGACACACTGCTCCTCCAGCTGCTGCTGTTTCTGCATGTCACTGCTCAGCTGGAGCTTCTCTGCCCTCGTCTCGTTCGCCGAACTTCTCAGCATCTGAATCTGATCCTGCTGGTCCTGGATCAGCTTGCGTTTCAGCTCCATCTTGCTGGAAGCTGCAGGGTCACAAAAAAGACAATATGCATTAAAAAGAAAACTTGTAGTCAACAGGGTTTTAGATCCATATTAGTTTTAAAGATGGTAACATCTAATTACATATTTTTCACTGATAACTTTGATGCATTATCTCTTTAAAGATTGCTCAAAGTGAGAGTTTTTTTCTCAAATTCTGAACCCATTTCCTGTTCTGACTTTGGGATGAAGAGTAAAATTACATCATTGAGATATTCAGCCTTAACTCAAGGAGAAAATGAAAATAATTGAATATATAGTGTGCGTTTTCTTTGAGAACAAATCAAATACATGATTATTATGAATATTTGATGTTAAGTCTTTATTCTCCCTTCAAATGTATTGTTTTTGATTGTATATGTTTGTATGAATGCAAGCTGTCTGATACATTTGGACCCCAAACACAACAAGTATAGCAACTCCTCTACAAAGGACCTTAGTAGAAAAACACATTCCCCCTAAGTGGGTGTTTGTGCATCACGCCATCTTACTTGTGTCCAGCTTGTGCTGAGTTTCTTGTTTCTCCTGACTGACTTGCTGGATGGTTCTGGTCAGGTCTACTCCCTGGAGTTTGGCTGCCTGCTGAGCGATTTTCCTCTCCAACTCTTTAAGGTCCATCTGGAGAGAACAAATATGTAGTAAGGTGAGAAGGGGGATGACAAGATATTTACAGGAAGTCTAACAGTGATGATTTTGATGTTGTCACTTGTTTTGCTTTGATTGCTGTTATTTGTATATGTGACATCAGAAAGTTATCTATTTGGAGAAAGATGGGATGGTGGAAAGATCAAAAGTGGTCAGCTGGTTAGAGAGTGTTCAGAAACAGAGAGGCAGGAGGGTACCAGGTATCTGTCCATCAGAGAGATGTCCTGCAGGCAGGCCTTGGCGGTTTCCTCCTCTGACATGAGGACACCCAGCAGAGTCTCCTGCTCCTCCACGTCCCCCTTCAGCCGCTCGATTTCTCTATTCACAGTCTGCAGGCGGTTTCTCAACTCAGGCAGCTCCTTTTCCTGAAACTGCACAATGGACTGCCTGGGAGGCATGAGAGAAAATAGAAGTATACTTTGAGCAGAGCTAAAAGGTGCATGTTACATGTTTGAATCATGTTAGTCAACATTATCCCTTCTCACCCTGCTGTTATTCAGGGAGAAGTTTTCATTGAAAACTCCTGATTAAATTACATCAATTTGACATCAGTTTCAACAACCCATATAGTCTGAAACATTTCTAGGATTAAATGTCCTAAGAGTTTGCCAAACTAAAGGGCAAAGAGAATGTCTAGTACATGGCCTGATAGCTAAGATCAAGAGTGCAATAATAGTTTCACAAAATGTATTTCATGGCCCATCTACATTAACAATAGATGTCACTAGATACAGTAGGTCCCTGCTGAATTCGTAAATCATGATCCGTAATCGTACTTGGTGTTTCAGGTAAACAGAAACCTATAACCAACAAAGGGCATTTTCTAATGTCAGCCAGAAGAAGTATACTCCTGAAAAACCCAAGTGGATTTTGTGATAAGATTTGTATTGTATTTATAAGAGGACTATCAAATAAACCAATGTGTATGCTGTGTTCTTTGTATATTTGTTCTGACGGAGAAATTACAACAGCTCTAATAGCATTAAAATGTGTTGAAAGGTAAGATATATAAAGCTCTTATTATATTTTGAAATAAAGGGAGTGGCTGCTTGGAGCTCATGCTCTCCAGGGTTCTGCTCAGGTCCTGAAAGGACAGTGGAGAGAACCGGAGACAAATCTCCATCCTATGAGAATCTTGCTCCACCTAGTGGGGAACATAAAACCTGTGCTCCACCCTCTTTAAAAATCAAAGGGGAGGGGAAAAGGACAATTGTAGCTCTATATTTGTCCATCATTTATTGTGAAGTAATTTATCGATTGTATAACTTAAATTTGGTGTAAAATAATATCATGTTGTACAAATCATCAGTGGGCTGGTGAGATTTCCTCCTCCTTTCTCCACGCGCCATACTGCCTGAACGAACACTGCTGAATATCTATTTTTAGAGTGACAAGTTGTTGTTTGCTATTGGGGGACTGGATGAATACATCACAGATTTGTGTTGTACTTTTTTTAAATTGTCTTTGCCATGAGTAGTTCATGTGTGCTGGTGCAATACTCTCAAATGGGATGATTTAAAATGTGTTCATGGAAACAACAGAATGAAAGCAATTCTGAAAACACCTGACACGTCGAAGCCTTAATTCATTCGAGGCTGCAATTATTCAATTCATTAATCAATCACAATTGCCACACATCAAAAGTTGAGGATTTCCCGATTGACAATGGAATAACTTTGAGTGTAGGCAAAACTATACATTTCACGATGCCACCTTGTGAAATTGTGCATTTTTTTATATTGAAAAGGCAATTGAAATGGATTAAGTGTGAGAAGTAGCAGATGATCTGATATTCAAACTACAGGACAAAAAGCCTGCAGTCATAGAGAAGGGAGCCATTTCATAATTGCTAAAATAATGGCTTACATTTTCGCAGTGTTTTTTCACTAAGGCTAAAATGACTAGCCCCAGTACACTTGCTGCACTCCAACAAACACTCTGTCTTTGGCTTTGTGCGTACCTGACAGGTCTGAGTGCCATCATCTCCTCCCTCTTCCTCTCCTTCCTCTTCAGATCCGTCTCTGTGTTCTTCAGCTTGTCTGGCACCAGGCGCAGCTTGGACTGCATGTCGCTGATGACTTCCTGCAGATCAGAGTCTGAAGGGAACGTCCGCTGGCACACGGGGCAGCAGGGCTCTCTCTCCTCCGTCAGCTGGCTGATGAACTGGGTGTACACCGCTGTTGCTCCGGATAGCATTGCTATGAAAGTACAGGGGTAGAAAGAAAGAAGAAACATATTGTTTATTCCTCTGTAATACCTTTATCACAAGTACTATGAGGAAAATAATTTGTGCATGCCAGAGTTCCCGAATATTCTTTCGCCGGTCAACATGTCCGTTAAAGTTTAAATCTTCGGGACAAAATTAGAAAAGTGCCGGTCAAAGGTCTTCTTTGTTATTTATTGAGCTTTAAAACAAATTGATATGATTCGATATTAAACAAACTAATATAGTAGATTAACTACATTATTCAAAAGTGTACAGTAACTTACAATAACACGGGAATAATAAACGGAGCGCTCTCTCCCTCTCCTGACAGCCCGCCAGTATCATGTAGCTCGCGGATCCAGAGTGACCCGACAGTAAAACTAAACATATCTATAACTAGTTTAGGTAGTTTGAGAGGTAATTAAAATAGCTACGTGTGATATTCTAACCTGAAATGTGTGTTTTGCTCCGCTCGTCAGCAGCAGCTGATCCCTCTCTCCCTAGCTAGTTCTAGCTAATGATAGGACTACCTGCTTATTAAAAGACACCTAAACAGTAAGTGTCGCTGTGCAACCGGGTGAGGCCACAAAGTATAGCGCAGCATTATGCATTTGTTTACATGCCCACCGGAACCCCGAGGCATTACCAACAGATCACCGCACAATCAACCCATACAGGACATCTCTTTCTCCACATTAAGTGTTGGACATTAGAATTGACTATTCTTGTCTGTCACATAAGTGGCGCAACTGATGCGGTATTGCGCTAAGGGGAAACTATTTTGACCGGAGAGATTTAGATTTGCCGGTCTTCAGCATATTTTGCCGGTCATAGTCCGGTAATTACCGGCTAACGGGAACTCTGGAACACATCTTAAAACTGCCACTTGTACTTGTAAAGCCATTCCAATGTTTTATTATGGGATTGTAATGGCTGTACATTAGGGTGGTCCTTAAAATTGAAATTCGGAAAGTCTAAGCTCCAACCCCCAGAATTCTTTCCATTGGTGAATCTTTTCCTCAATCTGACAACATGTACCCCTCCCTCATCGACCTTGAAGTTTAGCCTCAGTTGCACCACCAGGTCGATGAGGGAGGGGTACATGTTGTCAGATTGAGTACAAAATTCACCAGGAGAGTTTTCTTGACTAATAGAATGAATTCTGGGGGTTGGAGCTTAGACTTTCAATTTTAAGGACCACCCTACTGAGGCTAAACTTCAAGGTTGATGAGGGAGGGGTAAATGTTGTTGGAATTTGAATAAAATTCACCAGGAGAGTTTTCTTGACTATCATAACAAATTCCGGTGGTTTGAGCTTAACATAAATGAATTTGAAAATGTACATGGCACTAAGGACCACCCTACTGTACATTCATCAGTGAAAGTGATATGTCACATACATGTCATTCACATTTCTTTCAAATGGAAAGTTGTGTGTTGAGTAAAAAGGGGTGTACATGCTATGGCGAATACCTTTTTCAATCCATTTTGGGAACTTTGTGTGAGAACTGTTTGATGCATTGTGAAGGTTTAGGAATGTATGTATCCATGATAAGGTAAGGAGCACAACACATGAGACATGAGACATGTCGTCTCTAAATGTAGTTCTTTTCGAGGTTTAGACCTCTCTATGTCAAAAAGTGCATGCTCACTTCTATTATAAAGCATTCACCTCTTTGTTTGGAGATCTTTTCCAGATCTTCTCGCAGTTTGCCCAGGTCCTGCTCCAGATCTTGACTGCCACACACATTGAAAAACTTCTCTTCGTCGTTGGCCAACTGCTGCTCCTTCTTCCGTACCTCAGCAGCGATGTGGCTTTTGTTCTGCTCATTTGAAGCCAGGTCCTTACTGAGAATATTTAAAACCATGACATAGAACTAGTCAGTGACACAGAATAATAAGTTCCCTCATAATGTATGGGCTGTAAATGTAAAATAATCTTATTAACTTGAATTTGGCAAGTCGGTCCCTGGTGCTGTTGATTTCCTTCGACTTGGAATAGATCCAGTCCTCCAGCTCTCTCTTGTTGGGAAAGTGGCCGAGCAACGACACCAGTTCCTCATTGTGACGAGACTTGATCTTACGAACCTGCTCGTCCTTCTCTGTCTGGAGGAACCAAAGAGAAAAGATGAGAGGAGTGACAGGTAATGAAGAAGGGAAAAGATGAAGAGAGGTAAAAGGCTCTAGTCTGAGACCAAAGAGGAGAATGTTCACACCAGTTGCATTTCAATGAGTGTAGGTTGCACATTACCTTGTCCTTTTTTAGCATGTCCATCTGTGTGCGAGCGGTGGTGTGTGTGTTGAGCATCCCCATCTCTTGGTCGAGTTGTCTCTGTAAGCGGTCGAGTTCAGCCTTCTCTCCCTGGAGCTCCAGCACCTCGGCCTTCAGCTCCTCCACGTTGGAGCTCTGAACCACGCTCTGCAGCTCGCGCTCCTGAAGGGAAAAGAACACACACACACACAAAGTGATCAGAGCAGTGATCCTGAAGGGGCACTTTAGGGTAAAAGGGAACTGTATATTGTGAGAAAAATACTGTAATAACAGCATGAATGAATTGTTTGTGTGCCTACCACTTTAGCCAGTTCATTCTCCAGTTCTTGCAGCCGGCTGGACGAACCCTCGAGCTTCAGCAGCTCTGTCCGGACGTTCCTCATTTCTTGTTGCTTCTTTCCCTGCATGTCTCTCTTCAACTCCACCGTTCTCTCCAGGCCGGTCTTCTTATCTCTCATTTCATCAATGGACTGCTGCTTCTGCTGATCCTTTTCCTGCAGGTCAGCCTGAGTGAACAGAACGATAGGAGAGATATCAGGCCTGACTATAAACACTATAATCGTGTCTCTGGTATGAACACATATGTACAGCAGGAAGAGAAGCAATGCTGTGACATTTTTTGGTTTTTAGGAAATTAAACGGAACATTTCTTACCATAACCTGATTGGCCGTCTCTTTCTCCTGATCCAGTCTCTGTGTGACTTGACGATTAAAGCTTTCAAGTTGAAGACTGCTGAAGGGAGGTCTGTCGTAACCCTCCATCTCCAGAGAGGACGACAAAGAGCGAACCTAAGAAAGAGATGTTAATCAAACATGCATCAAAATGATGTACAGTGTATTATTATAGTATAATACATGTTTTACAGATGTTTTTATCTTTAGGTAAAATACATGCACTAAATACAAACTTAGCATTCTTTTTACATGTTGAAGATCATTAGGGTAGTGTACATGGGTAGAGAAAAAAGGGACCAATAATGAAACCTTTGGTGTTGGCTGATTGTAATGAAGTGCACTTGCTCCTTACATAAAACGACATTTATTTGGCAGGAGCTTTTGACCAAGGTAACTTAAACTGGGTGCGGTCCACCTCCATGGGAATAAGAGTTGGAGTGCCCCACAGATTTAGATGTTTCTCTCTTACCTGAGTGTCTCGGTTCTTGATGTTTTGAGTGTGGCGGTCAGCCTCTAGTTGTAGACGACCTGTGCAAAGGTAGCAGGATTTCAAAAGCTTATTAAGTCTTCAGGGGATATCTCTTTATCCACCTGTGTCCATCCTTTCTTGTATCTATCACTGATTTATGTTTTTCTCTTAAAAGAACAGCATATTTGAAGGTTTTGGGGTAACTTTCTAAAATCAATTCTGCCAGTTCACTCTAATTTTTTCAATAATACCTATGGCTGTAAGGGCTGCTTGAAACTTCAGGAAAATGCTATTAATGAGTGTGTGTACCTTGTTCTACCAGGAGGTCGGCCTTGATCCTGTTGAGTCTCTGACACTCTCGCCCAGCTCTCTCCAGCTCCTTCTGGCAATCTGTCAGCCTGCGCTCCTTCTCCCTCACCGTCCTCTGGTGGTTCTGGTAAATCTCCTGCAGCTGCTCATCTGAACCCTGGAAAACCTGCCGAACACACACACTTCACTGGCTTAGAGCGGTTCTGGAGCTCACCGAGTACAGCGTAGCAAACTGTCAGGGTTTAGTGGAAGAAATCCCTCTGTGATAAAAAGATTTGCATTATGGCTCTTTGGATATGATCTGGATAAAGGACACGGCATACACATAATCGAGGTGTGCAATGGCTGCATAGAGCAAAAGCAGTTCATTAGTTTCATTACTACATAGCATAGTGATCAAGCAAGACTGGTTCAAGCTTTCTGATACCTTTGCAATATTAGCTAGGAGGAAATGGTGGTCATAATTTTGACAAGCACCCAAGACTTCCAACAAACTCATGTTATCACACTGACAATTCACCTGTCTATTAAAACAAACACAAAAGTGCAATCGGATAGTGACACGTCCCCTGACTATAAATAGACAGTCTTTAAACACAGACTCATACACGGCTGAGGCAGGGTTTCCGTTAGCCGGTAATTACCGTTTTTTAGCTGGTAAAATGTATTAAAAACCGGTAAATTCAAAACCTGCCGGTCAAAATGTCCGGTAATAATTAGAGATGCTCCGATCGATCGACCGCCGATCATTATCGACAGATATTCACTCTTAATAGTTTGATCGGTGCTCTCTATAGAGGCCGATCAGGAGAGCTGGATCTGATCGATATGGACATAAACACGAGTGAAGTGTAACCGGACGCGAGAGAGAGATCAGATCAGCTGCTGAGTCTGACCGAGGCACGCAGCTCTGATCACCTGAAGCCCCGCCCACTGTTTAGCGAGCTGCATTAGATACTGACGGGCGGCAGGAGAGAGAGAGAGGGAGGGAGAGGGGAAAAGAGAGGCTCCGTTTCTCCCGTGTTATTATTCAAAGTTAAATGTAAACTTTTGAATAATGTACTTCATCTACTATAAGTCGTTTGTTTGAATGTAATAATTATGTTGTTTGGGGAAGCGTATCATTTTTTGAAAAATGAATCTTTTACGATTATAAACTGAAGCAATATAAAAATGAGCCCCATTAACTGAGATAATGGGGATCAGCATATCCGGTCATAGTCCGGTAATTACCTGCTAACTGAAATTCTGCTACACAATTCTTCTTCTTATTATTATTATTGAAACATGACCGGTAAGTTTCGAATTTGAGTCCGGTAAAATAAATGATTTCCGGACATTTGACCGGCGAGAAATAATCCTAGCGGAAACCCTGAGCTGAGGAGCAACAGCCAGATGGAGGAAAAGGTTCCTGGCTCCCTTAAGGCAGAGGGGCAGAAACACACAAAAGAGGAATGTGAATAAAGGACAGTGACGGACTGGTTTGTGATTACAGCATGACAACAACCTCATTCTCCATCCGCAGTCTCTCTGTTAGTTTTCAATAAAGGTTAATGATACTTATAAAGTGGAGTCCGGGGTATGATTAAGCAGGTGTTAAGATGAAACAAAGCTCTCCATCCGACAACCTTTTTAACATTCTAAAAATAAATAACTTGTGTTTGGTGTATGTATTACATGTTTTATATGTTACCTGTTCCATAGTTTCCTCCAGCTCCTTGTTGTCCTCCTCCATCTGTTTCTTCCTGCTGTCTAAAGCCTTGATGTCGTTGTCCAGCTTCATCACTTTCCCCAGTTTCGTGTCAATATCCGTCAGTCGATTCTGAAAGTTATTTTAAAAGTCAATCGTTACTTGAGGAGTACTACGGGTAATCCACCATTCTTTCGACATTTTAATTTCAATTCATAAATAAAAGAATGCAAACCAAGTTAGTTACAACTCTACATATGTCAGTTTTTATTTTATCATATGCTTTGTTGTAGAATCTCCCTGAAAACAAGGGTTGTGTGCAAATAAGCTTTATTGTCAGGTCTGCCCATCCTTCCAATTGTTAAGAGTTTACTATATAATAAAGTGTTTGCAGTAAAAACATTATATAAAAGCAAGTGGTAGTGATTTAACAATGGATCCCTCTTCATATTTCAAATTTAGAAACATTGCTTACAGAACTTTACATAGACTTCTTGAGTAATCTGGAATCTCTCAAAAATCAAAGAGCAGGGCAAACTATAAGTTCGATGTTAGAAAGCTCACGAAACGCACATTATCATAAACAAACCTCCAGTGGATCAATCTGGCTCTCTACTTGCTGGATGTTGTCTTTAGAGGCTACCAGCTGAGCCTCTTTGGTATCCACAGTCTCTTTAATCTGCTGGGCTTTCTCCTTGTTCTGCTTCAGGTAGCGCAGCTCCACCTGACACTCCTTCACTGTGTGACTCTGTTTGAGACGCAACTGACGCATCGTTTCCAGAGCTTTGATGTACCTATGGAAAACAAGAGGCAATATGTGAATGGTGTGTGCAAGTTAATATATATTCCTTGGAATTATTTTTAGCAAATGTGATTCTTCATGTAAAAAAAACATCACATGAAAACTTAAGAATGAGGTCTTTACTTGGTTGCAGCGAAGATGGAGTCAAACTTGTCTTTGAGTGCTTTGCCCTCACAAAGTGGCCAGTTGGACTCTTCTTGGTGACAAAAGATGACATTATTCAGCACAGCCTTCGACACTCCCAGTGAAGAAATCATCTCCCGATCCAGTTCGCCACACTTTGATGACAAGCTCACCTTCTCACCGTCTCTGGATGAACAAGGATGGAGGTCACATGTTGAGTAAGAGGTCATGTTAAGAGACACAATGTCAATGGGAGACACAATTCAAAAGAGTAAAGAAACCACTTAATTGTGTCTTACTTTATTCGGGTAATGACTTGCTCCAAGCTTTTGAAGGAGTAGTTCTTCGCCTTCTGAGTGCAGGACATGGAGCGATGGATAGTCACTTTCTCTCCGTTGACGTCTGAGAATAACAGTCGGATCTGTGCTCGCACGTCTGTCTCATGGGCGTCCTGGAATTCAAGAAGCATGAACTATGATGTTGATAGCTTTTCATTGAAGTGACTATTCTGAAGCTTAAGCGAGTCAAATAACGGTGTAAAACATGTTTTTGAAGTTACATGGTTATAGTTATAGTTATTCTGCATGTTGAAACGAATTAATGATAAAACCGATCTAAAAAAATCAGTTTTCACTCCATTTAACAAATAGCTTGTTATATTTTAATAAGAAAATGAATTGAGGCAGAAATTGAACTCTTATCGAACATGTAAATATTGAATAAGGCAAGGGTGAAAATAAAAAGGTCTGAAAGTCTCGTAATGTAATACAATAAAAATGACACAAACATCAGATAAAAAAAATAGACTGTCTTGTGATGATTGAGACCACAACAAGAGAACCAAATTAGTGGTAAAGTTATTTCTTGTTTATAAATGTAACTGCCATCTTATCTATCCCAGGTCATAATCATACTTTGAAGTCTGTAATTGCTTCATTTTAAGTAGGTATCGTTGAAATAGCAAAAGTCATTAATCAGATAAAATATCAGAATTTATAATCTGGATATTCAATGATAGGGTAGCTTGTTTGACTCAAATAATAATAAGTAACATATTTGGTATATTGAATATATCATGTTGAGTATTACCTTAACAAATGAGAATACACAATAGTTTGAGAAATGTGTAAGAATAGAGCATCGTGGGCTGGTGGAGATTTAAGCCGATAAGTACAATCACTTACCTTTGGATCATGAACAAATGCCCCTCCTTTAGATCCAGGCGGAAGCTCTCCTGCTGTTGCATACTTAAGGCACTCAATAATAGTCTGGAAAAACAAAAAGGTCAAGTTGTATACAAATAAAAATGTGTCCAATCTCTACATGTCATGATTCACAGTCAACCTTTGCTCTCTCAAAATGTGTTCTCGTACCGTTTTCCCTGCTCCATTGGGTCCAACTAGCACAGTCAGTGGAGTGAAGAAAGTAATGACTTGTTTGTCTTTATCCTCTATCCCAAAACTCCTCACCCCTAAGATGCTCATCTTGTCTATCTTTGACATGTTTGCTTTCTGAAAGAGAAAGAGAAAGACATACATCAGTAGCAGTCATACAAACAGGGAATGCCAAGCCAAATCACTTCACTGTGAGCGACTTTTAATTCAGAATGCCACCTAAAGCTAATGAAAAAGTTAAGCCCTGTTACATAGGTATCTGTTGATTTGCTGACTTTGGCATTTGGTTTTCTAGTTGGTTTCGCTTTTCAACAGTAGAGTAATACATACAGTGTAAATAAAATAATAAAAACATAGAAAAGCTCTGTAATGCCAAGTTAATGTTTTTTTAGACGTAAGTATGAGGTTTAACAAAGCTACTAGAATACCTTTTTAATTGGTTAATGTCATAAGGCGGTATCATAGTGTGCATGTGTTGATTGTTTAATGTTTACCTGTGTAACGTTAGCTAACATGTGTGGAAAGCTAACAAATGTCAGCAGGCTAGTTTATAACTTAGTAAGTTCGGCTATATGCTAAGTTGCGGTGTTTGACAATTAGCGTCTCACTTACCAAAAGAGTCCCCCTGCGTGCAGTAAAACAAGAATGATGTTAGCCTGTTGCTGTCTTATACAGTTGTTCATTTGTTGTGAATTAAATTACCTGAGTGCTGTTGTGTTGCAGCGTTGCAGCAGACCTGAACGTTTTCGCGCTGTGAGAGAACGTGAACAGCGTCGACTTCTGACGACTTCCGGGAGAGGGAACTTGCACATAGAATCAAAACATATAGAACGGTAATGCAATGCAAACTGTTGTGTACAGTACTGCTCTGCTGACAGGTTTAAAACATCCCTGAGCCTGTGAGACATTTGAGCTGAGATATGAGTAGCTTGACAAGTTAGGAAACAGTTGATAAAGTGTTTTACTCGACCTGAATGAAGAGTAAACCAACACAGTCCCACTCCCTGCGAGTCAAAAACAGAAGCTTGGTCAGGGCCCGAGACTCGGGCTTTTCACAATTAGATTAGTCTTACATGAAAAAGTGCTTTATGAGTTGACAGAAGATAGGGCCTGCAGTTGGGATTTGAATTCACAACATTTAGGTTACAGAGCGTTTCCCAACCAGCTGAACTCCCAGGACACAGGAGAATTCAGGTGCGAATATAATAAATTGCTCACTATGGTTGCTCTTATTTGTTGGGCTGCAGACAAGGTTTATAAATACTGTCTGTGGTTTAAGGTTGTGCATAGAATCCAAATATATAGAACTGTTGTGCAAACTGTTTTAGTGCACTGCTGGCTGTTGACAGTTTAAACATCTCTGGGCCCATGAGACATTGTATCTGAGATATGAGTCACTTCACAAATTAGAAAACATTTGATAAAATATGTTACTCGATGTCCTAAACCAAGACCAAACGTGTCACAGACAATTTGGGTCAGATTAGGACTCACTTCCTCTTATGAAACCTTTTGATTCAGATGCAAATTCAATTGGTTGCTCCCAAAGACTGTTTATAAAGGTTGCTCCACATTTGTTTAGCTTCCAAGCAGGTTTAACATTATTTAATGGATAGATGCATTACAAAATATTTAAAAAAGTTTGGATTGGTTATATCTTAAGGGTTTCTTTAAAAATCCTAAGAAACAATAGTTTTGTTGTTGTTTTTAGAACTGAGTTTACCTACCTGTCATATTAAGAGTTGTGTAATGTATTTAACTGGATGGTTTAAAGGTCCCATGACATGGCCATTTCTACTGATCATAATTCCATTGTTGAGGTCTACTAGAATAGATTTACATTGTTCAATGTTCCAAAATCACATTGGTTTCTCATACAGCATGTAATTCACTCTCTGTCCTAAACGGCTTGTTGAAGAAAATGATTCTTTCCTTCTGGTTATTTGTGCTGGTTGGCGTGAGAAGGACACCTGCTGTTGAAGAAATTTAAATTGCAGGTTTGATCCCTGCCTGAGTTATGGAGAGTGTTTGAAAGAAAGCGTTGGTTTGTTTCACCAAGATTTGGTTGCAATATGAAAGTCAGGATTACAAAACTGTTTAAACTTGTCTTGCCTTTGGACGCTTGTTGTTTAACTGCATACAATTGATAGTGGTGGCGTGTGTTCTTGTACGTGCCCCTTCATTTGTCAATTGCTACAGTAAGGATAAATTAGCATATTCAAAAACTGATCATGACCAGTCTTCCCTGTATTCATTTGTTATCTCTCAAGTGGACCTATTTGTGTACATATTCCTGATAATCTTGCATCTCAGTACATTTACCACAAGAGGACAGTGTTTCCCTTGTGGAAAAGCCATTGCTGCCAAGTCTCACAGATCACACGACTGAAGTCTTTCTCCTCTGTCAACTCCTCTCCTCATTTTGCGAGCCAGAAACGTATAATCATATGGCTTTAAGTATTGCTGTGACAGTTCGTGTAAGGCTGTTGGCCATTGCAGCATCTCATTGATTTGAATCCAGTTAGATACGATTCAGATGCCTATTTTGTTTACTTGATCAGACATTTGAATAATTTTCATTATAAATGGCAACAAAAGGCAAACGTAAATGTAAAACTGTTATACATTTTCTTGAAATAATAAACAAAGAAAAGGAAAAATCCCTATTCAAACAAACATTTTCCCTGAGGCTTTCTAACACAATCCAGTACTCAAGCAACACTGATCAAAAACATATGCTGTGAAAGAAGACGGCTTAGAAACTGAGAGGTTCAATCTAATTGGGATACAGGGGCATGAGTTATTTTGAGCCTGTGTTTGGGGTATATGAAGAACAGTTTGTGGACGTCCACAGGGACCTGCAGGACTGGTGAACATCACCTGCAGCAAAGCCCCTAAAAACCTGACAACATCATCTCTCTGACTTCATCTCTGTTCTTTCCTCCTTGAAAGAACACACACACACACACACACACACACACACACACACACACACACACACACACACACACACACACACACACACACACACACACACACACACACACACACACACACACACACACACACACACACACACACACACACACACACACACACACTGATTCAGTCTTATCAGCCCACTGACTCATTGTGCCTCAGTCTGTCCAGCTCATGGCCCTCTTTCTATTTTCATCCTGTCCCTACATGAAAATGCCATGACCCTGTGTCATGTGTTGGACCACTGGAGGTATATGTGTACGTGTGTGTTATTATGTTTACGTGTTTGAGTGTGAAAGCCTAATTCCACATGCCTTCGGTCACCCTCCCTGTCTAAATGGCTAATGGAATTGGCTTACGCAGCGATTTTGATAATCTCACGGATGAATAAGGAACCAGCTGCTTCTCTCCTTCTTATCATTGAAATACGGTGAGAGAGAAGATAAGAGGGTCAAAAGACCAAGGGGGAAAGTAAGATGGGAAGCAATATAAATAGAATAACACAAAATAACAGCAGAGAAAGTGGATGTTAGAAAAAGCTCTATTTTACTTCTTAAAAAGAAATGAAATGTCTTACTGACAGCAATCACAGGTGGTAGACACGAGACAGGACTGACAGACTTACTTTTCATAAACTCCTTTCATAAAACCAATATTCTATCAAATCCTGAAGGACTGTGTTTATGGGAATTGGAAAATGGATTGAAAAACATCTGAATCGAAGAGCAAGACAAGCTGATTGATTTAAGTAATTATTTTTTCACAAGCAACTCTTTTTCAAAACAATCTTTTCTGATTCAGCAAATTCCTGAACATAGTTTCTCCCCACTGAGTGCTCTGAGGAGTGCCCATATTGGACAGTGGCCTTAAAATGGTTCAAAGCCAAAAATAGAGACAGATTGAGTTCAGAAAAGCAACATTTCCCTCATCTCCTCAGCATCCAAAGAACAGTGACTTGTTCTCTCTTGTAACCCTCAGCTCTGCTTTCTCTACTGTTTCTTTTTACATCCATGTCATAGAACAATAAGGCAAAACATATTTAACAACACTGAAACAAAACAAAAAACCATTGCTGCGTTTCAATGTTACCTCACTGGTGCAATAACTGTTAAACATGGGCATAGATATTTGGTTTAGGATCATCACCCAGCCATCCATCTACACTACATTCTAGTGCTTTCATGAGGAAATCTGTTTTTTTTGGTGTGGCTCTGTGATTTTACCCTGTCAGTGACATTTTCATCTATTTGACTTGTGCTCAGGGCTTTGTAAGACTGAAATGTCTTTTTTTCCTATTTGATTTTAAAACTCTTGTGCATCGACTATCTAATCTTGCACAGCACCTCTCAGTGAGGATTTGTCACAATGTGTTTTGACTTTGAAGTAAAGGAGGCTGTCTCATTCATTTTGGAGGGAAAAATAGAACAAGAACAAAATGCTCTTTATTTTGTGAATGCAGATTAAATATCATTAATAATCAACCTTTATTTATTTTGTATTATTAAAATGTATAATAATACTAAAAGGATACAAATATTTGTATGTTTTGAAACTAAAATAACCATATACTAAGAGGATACATCTTAGATGCTCTGATATATAGTTTCTGTTTCAGCTTTCCCTCCTCTGTAGACTTACTTTGACCCCACTTTACTCCCATCAGCTAATATGACCAGAAATACTCCCTTGGCTTATAGCAGACAGTATTGTTAGCCACTTTCAGTTTTCTCTTCAATAAAGACTCTGCTCTTTGTCGTCATGCAGGGCCACATATTTATTCTCACATTTTGGGTCATAAAGGCAATCGAGGACATGACAGATGACAGTATTTCATATTATGTAAGATAATGACAGGAAACATCTAGAATGGCTTGCTGGGTATACTTCATGATGAAGACAGTAGATCACGCTGGATAATGTTATAATGGTAATGTAACGTTATTGGTGAGAAAGAAGCCAAACACACTTTTTGTCTTTTCAGGAAGAGACAAACACTATGGATACCCTTTGAGCAAGGTTCGTCCGAAACTGTGTGCTGCTGTCCCCATCTTCAAGATTATCTCTCGTTTAATATATCTCGGTAGCTGCAGGACGTTCACCTTGCCTTCGAGTGTGGCTTTGGCAACGGCTTATCAGATAGTAAAGCTTGCACTCTTGCTTCCATGCCCTTGGGTGTGATTCCACTCCTGGTGACTTTCTAATTAAGCAGAAGGTGACGCTATTGTTTTGTAACCATGCAATTATCATGGGAAGGTGAAGAGAAAGACAGTTTGATGGATATATACTGTAAGCAAGTGAAATGGTTAAAGAGGTCAATGGAAATAATGAACGAATCCTGCATGTCAATGTCGGTAATGAGGTCACTGAAGTGTCCTCTATGCATTATCCATCTGCCAGTCTGTTTGTATTCTTCTCTCTGTGTAAGTGGCTGTGTGCTAGATAACAACATATAACAATGCAATCCAAAAGCCACATGCACTAAAATAAAAGGCAGCTGCAAGCAATATAATTAATGAGGGATATATTTGATTCAGGGGATCCAATTACCAATATTTGCATAACCAACTATTGTCAGTGTTTAGGCACACCTGAATCACATGGACCCATTATTCATCATCATATTATCTGCAGCTGTGCTTAGGACATTTCTGTTACATTTTTCTTTTTCTGAGCCATTTTGTGATCATGCAGCAGGTTTTGAGTATGACCCTGGTGCCAACGCTATGTTCTTTTCTGTCACTCTTGTTTGCTTTGCATGCATTAACTCTCAAATGTTATTCCGAATTCATTTAGAAAAACATTAGCTGTTGGATAC